ATGCTCAAGACACATGACAGGGACAAAAGTCGGTTCATAGAGCTTAACGCCAAAAATGGAGTAGAAGTGACTTTTGGTGATAATTCAAAAGGTCACATCGAAGGTATAGGTAACATAGGTAATACCTCTTCCATACAAATTAAAAATGTTTTATATGTGAATGGATTAAAACATAATCACTTAAGTATTAGTCAATTATGTGATAAGGGATTCAATGTCATGTTTGAAACTAATGGTTGTAAAGTCATTGACATTACATCTAATAGGATTATGCTTGTTGGTCATAGAATAGGAAATATTTACATGGTGCATTTAGATTCTATAGATATGACTAATTTATGACTAGTTGCTAAGGATGAGCATGATAGTTGGTTATGGCATAGGAGACTAGGACATGCTAGTATGAGTATTTTGCAACGGCTAATTCAAGGAGACTTAGTAAGAGGGTTGCCTAAACTAAAATTTGATAATAATAAAATTTGTGATGCTTGTACTAAAGGAAAATAAAAGCGAGTTTCTTTTAAATCCATTAATGATGTATCAACTAGTAGAGTATTACAATTGATCCACTTAGATCTTTTTGGGCCATCTAGAACTACTAGCTTGGGTGGAAAACAATATGTATTTGTTTTGGTAGATGACTATTCTAGATATACTTGGGTTCTATTCTTAAGTACTAAATATGAAGCATTAGAAAAATTCATCATATTTCAAAAGTAATCCAAAACGAAAAAGGTTACTTTATAACTAGTGTTAGGAGTGATCATGGAACTGAATTTGAAAATCTTAGATTTACTGACTTTTGTAATTCAAATGGTATTAGCCATAATATTTCAGCACCTAGAACCCCTCAACAAAATGGAGTTGTTGAGAGAAAAAATCGAACTTTAGAAGAAATGGCTAGAACCATGCTTTGTGAAAACAATTTGCCAAAATATTTTTGGGCGGAAGCCACAAATACCGCTTGTGATATTATTAATCGAGTAATGATTAGGCCTATTTTGAAGAAAACTCCATATGAACTTTTTAAAAATAAAAAGCCTAACATTATCTATTTTCATCCTTTTGGATGTAAATGTTTTGTTTTAAACAACGGTAAAGACAATCTTGGCAAATTTGATGCTAAAAGTGATGAAGGAATTTTTCTAAATTATTCCTTAAATTCTAAAGCTTATCGAGTATTTAATAAAAGAACTTTAGTTGTAGAAGAGTCTATACATGTTGTTTTCGATGATAATTTCCTTCCGAGGAAGGATTCTTGTTTGAATGATGATGTAGGTATTATAAATACAAATGACGTTAGATATGACGTTGATAAACCATCATCAAAGGAAGAAACGAAAGATGAGGAAATTCATAATCCTCTCGAGAATCCAACCATTGAATAAAGGGAAGTATCTTATCCAAGAGAGTAAAACTATGTCAAGGATGGTGAGATTATAGGTGATCCATCCAAAGGGGTAACAACTCGATCCTCTCTTAGAAATATTTGCAATTATGTTGCATTTATCTCATGCATAGAGCCTAAGAATATTAAAGAACCATTAAATGATGAACATTGAATTATGGCTATGCAAGAAGAGTTAAATCAATTTGAGAGGAGTAAAGTATGGACATTAGTTGAAAGGCCTAGTAATAAGTCTATTGTAGGTACTAGATGGGTATTTAGAAATAAGCTTGATGAGAGTGGTAATATAGTGAGAAACAAGGCTAGACTTGTTGCTCAAGGGTATACTCAAGAAGAGGGTTTAGACTATGATGAAACATACGCTCCCATAGCTAGGATGGAAGCAATTAGAATGTTATTAGCATTTGCATGTTTTCATGAATTTAAATTATATCAAATGGATGTTAAAAGTGCATTTTTAAATGGTTTTATAAAAGAAGAAGTGTATGTGGAACAACCTTAAGGTTTTGAAGATTTAAAATTTCCAAATCATGTTCTTAAATTGACAAAAGTGCTTTATGGTTTAAAACAAGCTCCTAGAGCTTGGTATGAAAGATTGTCAAATTTTTTAATCGAAAAAGGTTTTTCAAAAGGGAAGGTTGACACTACATTGTTTTTAAAGCATAAAGGTAAAGATTTATTAGTAGTTCAAATTTATGTTGATGATATAATATTTGTTTCTACTAATGATGTTCTTTGCCAAGAATTTTCTAAGCTAATGCAAAGTGAATTCGAGATGAGCATGATGGGGGGCTCTCATTTTTCTTGGGACTCCAAATCAAGCAAAGAAAAGATGGCATCTTCATCAATCAAGCTAAGTACGTCAAAGACATGCTCAAGAAGTTTGGACTGGAAAATGGGAAACCTCATGACACTCCAATGAGCTCATCAACAAAGCTTGACATAGATGAAGGAGGTAAATGTGTGGATGTTAAATTATATAGGTCAATGATTGGCTCTTTGCTTTATCTAACTGCAAGTAGACCGGACATTATGTTTAGTGTTTGCTTATGTCCTAGATTTCAATCATGCCCTAAGGGATCACATTTACTAGCTGTTAAGAGAATCTTTAGATACCTTAAGGACACTTCTAGTTTAGGACTTTGGTATCCTAGAGACTCTAGCTTTAGCTTGCATGCCTTTTCTGATGCGGATTATGGAGGATGCAAATTAGATAGGAAAAGCACCTCTAGTACTTGCCAATTCCTTGAAAATATGCTGATTTCTTGGTTTTCAAAGAAACAAAATTGTGTTGCATTATCTACCACTGAAGCAGAATACATTTCAGCTGGTAGTTGTTGTGCACAAGTCTTATGGATGAAACAACAACTTTTTGATTATGGAATTGAAATAGGTACCATTCCTATCAAGTGTGACAATACTAGTGCTATTTGTCTCACTAAAAATCCCATCCAACACTCTAGAACTAAGCACATTGAAATAAGGCATCACTTCATTAGAGACCATGTCGCTAAAGAAGATGTAGTTCTAGAATTTGTTGATACTTTGCACCAATTAGCAAATATCTTTACAAAACCTTTAGACAAAGAAAGATTTTGGACACTTAGTAGAGAATTAGGTTTAACTGACCTATCTTCACTTAGTGTTTAAAATAATTTTTAGCACTTTTAAGAATAAATGAAAGATGCTTATAATAATAATTTTTTATTGCATTCTTTGCTATTAGTTAGGGGGAGTTTATGTTCTTTGGTGTAAATTAAATTTATGTTCAAATGTAGCTTAATGACTAATTTGATTAATTAAACATGATTAATTTTCAATATATGAGTTGTCAATACCACTAGAGCTAATTTATTTAACATTTTGAGTGTTTAAAACGAATTTTTGACATTTTTGTGCATAGAGTATCGACACCCCTAAGACTGGTATCGATTCCCCCTTTGAATAGGTATCGATACCCCTGTAATAGGTATCGATACCATCCTTGAATGGGTATCGATACCCCCATGATAGTACCGATACCCTATACGGGGTCTGTTAAAAACTCTCCAAATACCTCATTCTTTCAAACCCTCTCCTCTCTAGTTTTACCACCGTGCTCTATCTTTTTCTCCCTAAATCACTACATTACTTCAAAACATCAAATTTTAGTCGGAATTCAATTGCATATCAACTCCCAATCCTGCCTCAATCATTAATTTGTGCAAACAACATCAAATTCCACTCAATCCAAAATTTTTAAAGTATTTTTCCAAAAACCTCTATTTTATCATATTTTGAGCTTAGGACTAGTTTAGATTAGTTCTAGGTTGAAATAATTATCTGGAATTGATCATATGTTATTTATAAACTAGATTCTACAACTAATTTCATCAAAAACACAATATTTTTCAAAAAAAATTCAAAAATTTCGAAATCTAAAACTTTTTATTATTTCCGAAAATCATGGGTTTAATTGATGTTTTTGATTCAATTATGTTGTTTTCATGAAAATCATACGTATTATGATTTTCAAATGCTATTTTCAAATTAGTTTTCAAAACTTTGCCCATTAGGATTTTTTTAGAGAACCTTGAAATATTGAAGACTCATTTAAGTTATGGAATATATTGATATAATTGCATACATGTGTTTTTCAAAAATTATAGGTTATCCATTCTATTCCGATTTCATAAGTCATGTCTCACAAACGACCTAGATCATCTTCTAGTCGATAAAACCGACCTCAAAACCCACCTCCAAATCCAATTCCTCAAATTCCTCCTCAAATTCCTGATTCCCTTATGACTATAGGTAATTCGTGCTATAATGAACCTGGACGTAGGCAAGATCTCTACTATAGGTATTCTCATTACTTTGAGTCATATAAAATTCGCGAAGAACGTATCCCGTCCCTTCAAGCTATGATAGATATGAACTTTAGATATCTACCTACCCGATTAGATTGGAAATTTGATAAATTCTATCAACTCGAACCAATTGTTTACCAACAACTCGTTCGAAATTTCTATTCCAATGCCGTTTGCGTTCAAAATCGAGAACAAACCGAAACCATAGGGATCCAGTCCTATCTTCTAAGTTAATTCATTCACATTGATTCTCAGTATATACCACATGCTTTTGGCTTAGATGATAATGGATTATGTGATGAAAAACAAATCGTAGGTTCTTGTTACAAGGTTAGATCGAGTGCGAGTATCTTACATCATCATGATCGATTTTTTTCATCTTATGATCTCTTGGTGGTTTAGACCATCCGGAGGAAAATACTCCACTCTTAGAGCCTTAGATTTATGGTGGATACATTGTATCCATAATAATATGAAAATTAATCTTCCTCATATCATATTTTATGTTCTCGTTGACACCGTGAATCTCGTTCCTAATAAGAAAACTTGTCTAAGTCTAGCTTACGGTTGTCTACTGAGTAACTTGTTTAAGAAAGTCGAGCTTAGGGTACAACTTGATGTAGTCATCCCTCTCAAAAACAAAATTAATCTTCTTTCCTTAACGAGATCGGGATGGATAAAGGATAAAGAAACCGATGAATAGGTTCGATCCTCTGAGGATACTTCGGGAGCTAGTTCTTCACGAGCTCCACCGGGAGCGGACGACGATCCAGAGCTTCAACAACTAATGCAAGATATTGACGAAGCCGACAACGAGCCGGAGCAGCCCAAAGAATCAGCACAACAAGAGGATCAAGTGCCTCCATATTATCGTTCGTTTTTAGAGACATTTGATTCACGGTTTGCTTCCATCGATTCCCATTAAACTGCAAACAACGAAGCGGTTAATCGTCGCTTAGACACTTTGGAAGCTCAACAGATGGAGTTTCAAAGGGAAATGCTTGCTCGTATGGATGCTCTTACTCTTGAGATACAACCACGATTTTCTCCCCCTCCTGATCCTTCTATGGACGAGTAGACCTTGCTTGGTTTTTGTTTTGGATCAACTTAGAACTTTCATTGTTAAAACATTTAGATGCTTTTGTGTATGTTTAAATTTGCTTTGAATGGTTTGAATTTATTTTGGATATTTTGATGTTTGGGATAGTAATTGTTAGTTTGAATATGTTTTTTGAATATTGATCTTAAAAGTCTTTTTTTTGCATCATTTAGAATATATGACCAATTTCGATTGCACATTTGTTTATGAATATTGATTATAGAACTAATGGATAATCTTTCTCTTGATTTTGATCTTAGCAACTTAAGCTTTATTTAATCAATTGGAAAAATCTTGTTTTCTAAACCTTTTTAAGTCATCTTTTTGATTTAACAAAAAGAGGGAGTAATTTTTCAAATTTTTCAAACTTGATTTCCAAAATTATTTTCAAATTAGAAAATCTTAAAATTACTAAAATGTTTTGTTATATAAAAAATGGGGAGATTGTTGAAAACGTTTTGATGTTTCGATATAACAAATTAAGTGGTTAATCATTTTTAAGATTTTTAATTATTCGAATATGAAAATTATTACTCCAAGTTTTTGAAAGTCTATTTCAATCCTTACTCAAGTGTAAAATTAAGTTTCAATCTTAAAATATTTTTGAAATAATTTTTACAAAGTATTTCAAGCCATATTAGAGCCAAAAATAAGAATTATTTAGTATGTTATCAATACCCCCTATAGGGTACCGATACCCCTGTGAACACTTTGGTTCCGAGAAATAACATAATGCTCGAATGGTACCGATACCCCCATATGTATGATATCTCCATGCAATGGTATCGATACCCCTCATATGGTATCGATACCCTAAGGTAAATAACGGTCGAAATATTTGAATTTTACACTACAGGTACCGATACTCTATGAAAGGTATCGATACCCCCACGCTCCAAGCTGTTTTATTAATTGTTTTCACACTTAAACGGCTCCATTGACTCCACTAATCATCCCTAACGTTCAGAATCAATTGAGGGAGTATTTAAACAAGTTCTGAAGCCTTTGATCAATAAGAAATCATAGAGAAACAAGAAAGAAAGCATCAAACACCAAGTTTGTACAATTCAAGCCAATTTTCCTTTCAATATTCATTTTTCTTTCAAGAACACCATTTGTGCTCATTTGTAATTATTTTTTAGTGTTCTTTTCTTGTTCTAGAATTGTGCAAACATCTTACCTTGTGAGGATTTCCTTGTAAGTTTGCAAATTTGTGTATTTCTCTTTGAAAAAGAGTGTGCTCAAGAATTGGGGTATAATTCTTAAGGGAATTGTAAGGTTACTCTTTGTCCTAAAAAGAAAGAACAAATTAGTGAATTTGTTGGAAAATCCTTAGTGTGGATAGCTAAGGTAGTGGACGTAGACTTTGGTTAAGAAAGTCAAACCACTCTAAATCGTTGTGCAATTACTTTTAATTTTCTGCAAAAGCTTCCACCAAAATTTTAATTGCCAATTCACCCCCTCTTGGTCGATTCCATCGATCGATTAACTCAACATAATGTAATTGAAGTATTTTGGAATTTGGGGTTTAGAATGTAATTGATGATTGTGTTGCATATTTTAAAAGTTGAGGGACCTAAATGCAAACACCTGAAAAGTTCAGTGACCATTTATATAATTTACCTTGACGACAGTGAAACAACCTGTACGTCACGGACCATATTGCAAACGAACTAAATGTTTTGTGATTGTATTGTAAGTTTTAAAAGTTGGGGGACATAAATGCAAGTATTTGAAAAGTCCAGTGACCATTTGTATACTTTACCCAATTTTTTAATTAGGTTTTTAAAAATTTTTAATATAAAAAATTGAAACCATTTATAAAAGTGTTGTTTAGAAATTAAAATGAAACCTATAAGAAAGTTATTAAAACACCAACAACTAGTTGATTTAGAAAAATAAAATATTAAATCTTTTAAATAAATTTTGTTAAAACAATGAAAATATTGAAATACCTCTCATTTATTAATTAATTCAATACAAACATTTATATAATACAATAACTAAGCTAACTACAAAGTAAATGCTTTTAACCAACTCTCTAACTAACTCCTAATTATACAAACAACTTTAACTCATTTGCTTTACACTCCCCTTCAAGTTGAGAAGTGAAATATATCTTTGACTCCCAAATTGGATAATAGATACTCATGTTGTGAAAGTTCAAGTGCCTTTGTTAGAATATCAACCTCCTGTTCTGAAGTTGGAATAATTTCTGTTTGAATTAAACCCTTCTTAATTTTTTCTTTTAAGAAATGACAATCTATCTATATATTCTTTGTTCTTTCATGGAGCACTGAGTTTCCTGCAATTTGTAAAGTAGTTTTGTTGTAACTAAAGATCTTTACAGACTAATTGATGTTGATTCCAAGCTCCTTTAATAAGATTTTTAGCCAAATTAATTTAGATGTTGTTACAGTCATTCTTTTGTATTCAACTTCTACTAAAGATCTTGCTATTGTACTATGTTTTTTGGACTTCCATGAAACTAGTGAATCTCATAGCTTAACAAAGAACCCTTTTATTTATTTTCTTGTCATTCCCAATCTGAATCACAACTTGTTATTAGCTAGCATCTGCTTGAAGCATTCAACATAATTCCCAAACCATGATTCTTTTTTATGTACCTCACTACTCTAAGGACTGCTTCCATGTGTTATTTCTTTGGTTGACGCATAAATTAGCTTAAATGTTGGACTGAAAAAGCTATATAAGGCCTTGTATGTGTCAAGTACAACAACCTCCCAATTAGCCTTTGAAATTATGTTATGTCAACCAAACAGTCTTCATTTTTGTTTTCCTGCTGTAAAGCTTGGTGTTCTATTCTAAAGGTGTAGCAGCTGGCCTTGCACCCCCTACTCCTGTATCTTGAATAAGCTCAAGAGCATACTTTCTCTGGTTTTAAAGTATCCATTCTTTTATCCTTAAAACTTCAAAACCAATGAAGTATTTTAATTCAAATAAGTATTTCATTTTGAAGCTTTTATGCATAACTTCTTTCAACTCTGCAATCAACTTTGTATCACTCATTTTGATTAGTAGGTCATCAACATAAACCAAAAGAACCACAATTCTACCTCCCGTCTCCTAGTAAACATAAAATACTCATGTTTTGTAACACCCCCAACCTGTACCCGACCCGGATACGGATCCGAGATGTCACATTGCCTTTTCAAAACTTTTATTCCTTGAAAAGTCATGGAAAATTTAAGCTTTTTACTTAATTTAAGTGGTGGAACCCTTACAACAAAGATATTATTGGTAGTTCATAATTCACAATGAAATAAATATTGAATAATTTACATAACTTTAAAATAGTATGTTTACAAAAACTGGTCAGAGCATTTCCATTTAAAACATAGTGATACATGCCAACAATATTTACAAAATGATAAGAAAACCTACTATTCCAAAAAACCTACTATTCCAAAAAACCTACTATTCCAAATGGTTATGATCTGATCTTCCCGACGTATGTTGTCCTTTCTTATTCTCCACTCTTCCGATCTCTTTGAACCTACTTGTGAAAAATTTACACGCTAAGTCGTTGAATTAGTGAGGCAAATATGAGTATAAAGCAATAAATTATTTACTTAACACTTTCAAGAAACATTGATCAAGAAAATATATATAACTTTCATACACATTATTATAATCTTATACACTGTTCAATTCATACACTTTTGTTTATAGAGCCCAACGTATATTATTGAGTACTCAAGGTATTTGAGTATAATAAGGTTGTGCACTAATGTTGTCACCACTGCTCATATAAATTGCACCAAAGTGCCACGTAGAATTTGTCCCGAAGGATCGCGTAAAATTTGTCCCGAAGGACCACGTAGAATTGTCCCGAATGAAAACATAGATTTGTCCCGAAGGACAACATAGATTTATTCCGAAGGACTGTGTAGAACCCTCGACTATTGGCATGCCAACTATACATCTAATTCTCATACATATACCTTGGGCTTTAACCACATAATTATTTCCCATTTCATTATTTAAAGTGTGTCTTATTCCTATATAATATATTCTCATAGGGTACTTTCACGTAAAACATTTTCATATAACATATTCACATATCACATGTTCACCTTCATGTACATATAACAATTAAAACATAAATTTAGAAATGCAACTTAAATAAAACATAATAAAATATTGCATAAAAAATAGCCCTCAAGTCTAATATAAAACCAATGAGTTGCACTCACCTTTGCCTCACGTAAGTTTTAAATGAAGTTCATTTCCTTTTCGATCAATCTTGTACTATATTGATTCCTTCGATAAAATTTCAAACCAAATCTACACATAAATAGATCCAATATCAATACCAACTTTCCATTAACATAAAACCAATTAGTAGTTACTAAAAATGAAACAAACTCCCAATTTAAAAATCCAGACCGAATAATATCGGTACCCTTCCACAGTACCAATACTTCTCTTTTATGGTACCGATACCCACTTCAGTATCGATACCATTTTGGCAATCTGGAATTTCACCCTCAATAATAGTATCGATACCCTACTCTTGGTATCGATACCACACTTCAGTATCGATACTAATTCAATCAATATCGATATTATTCATCATATTCAACTTATTTCCTTCGATTTAACATTATAATATCGATATTGTTCTTCGAGTGGCGATACCCTTGCCCAGATTTCATTTAGTTCACTTCAAATTTTACCCAAATTAACCTAAATCTCTTACTCTTAGCTCTATCCAACTTCTCAAACTCATTAACACTTATCCTAATCAACTTATATCCAATAATCCTCTTATAACATCCAAATTTCTCTATGGAATTCTTAATACTAAAAATCATGTCATTTATTCAAACATGTTCTCAATCATTTCTAACATTTCAAATCTCTTATTTGGACCTTTGACAAGTAAATTATACCTTTAGAATCCAATTATTAACCAAATTTCAACCCTTCACTTAAAAACTCATTTCATTAATTCACTAAGAATTCTTTAGTAACTTAGTTTTTCTTCATCTTTAAGCTTCTTTAATCTTATATTCCACTTAAAGCTTCAAAACAAACCCACAAAATTAAGAAACAACCAACTTGAAGTAACTCACCTTGGAAAAAGAAGGTTCACGGGCAAGAGGAAAAAGAAGAGAAGATAACCCAGAATCCAAACTTTTCTTTCCCCTTTTAATTCCTCACATTCTTAAATGGGTTTAAAAATGAATTTTAAATTCATGTCCTGCAAAAAAGAGAATTTTAAATTCATGTCCTGCAAAAAAGATTAATATACCCTTCATCTCTTCCATCTTTTTTAAAAAGTCCTAACCCCAAATTTACAAAAATTAGTCCATGAACTTTTCAACTTATCAAATTTAACCACTAAATTTTGAATCATTACATTTCAGTCGCTGACCGGATATTTGGGGTATTACATGTTTACTCTAAACATATCCTGCTGAAATTGAAGGTTTTGCGAGTTTAGTATTCCATTGTCTCGAGGCTTGTTTCAAGCCAGAAATAGACTTTTGTAGTCTACACACAACAATTGCGCCCTGACTACAAAAGTCTTGAGGTAATTCCATGTAGACCTCCCAAGCAAATCACCTTGCAAAAAAACATTGTGAATAGGCCAATCAAAAATTGCAGCAAAGGCAAGAACAAAACGAACAATGGTGATTTTGGTAACAAGAGAAAAGGTATCAACAAAGTCAACGCATTCTCTCAGATTATAACCTTTGGCAACAAGTCATGCCTTGAATCTATCGTCTTCACCTGAAGCTTTAAACTTAACTCTAAAAACTCATTTGCAACCAATGCACACTTTTCCTGGAGGCAAAGGGACAAGAGACCATGTTTTATTCAAATCAAGTTTTGTTCAAGGGATTGAATCATGACGTTTACGAATAGAGCAAATTAGGTTGGGTGGATCACCCTCATCTCTGCAATATCTGATCCAAATTAGTTGATCAATTGATCTGATTGCGATGATATTATATATATATAAAGTTACTAAAGCCAATTTGATGTGAGAAACGGCTAATTTACCCGAATATCGTTTTAAAATATGTCTTATTAATTATGTTTAAAAAATATAATTGATTAATCATATTTTTATCCTATATAACTAAATGATAAATAATTTATTGAAGAATATAAAAAAAAATGCTAGTTTGAGATTCATTAATTGATCGAATGGTTAAGGATATTTATGATATCTTACTTTGTGTGAGTTCGAATCTAAATTTTTATCTTGGAAATATAATACTTCTCTATTTAATAAAAACAGTAAGTTAGTTCAATTATACTTTAGAGTGATAAATTTTATTACGATAGTTAAATACACGTGATTTTATTTTTAGGTTTTATACTTTTCTGTTTATATTTATATGCATAATTGTTTAATCATTTAATTATTTTGTGATTAATTTAGTTTTGTTAAGGGTTTAAAAGTTTTGGTTTTATTTTTTGTTGACAAATTTGTATATAGTATATTAGTTGTTTGTTTGGCATGACAACAATGTCGGTAACGATTTTATTGAAGAGTGTTTAATACGATGAAATTTGACAAGTAATCATATGTTTAAAATATAAACGTATAAAAGTCTTTCTCTGACCGCAAGGAATCCAAAGACTGGAGAACTTCATGAGCTTTAGACATGCAAGAGAACTTCATGAGCTTTAGACATGCAAGGGTTCATACCACTTTTGAGCCTGTGGTTGACAACTTTACTAAAACATCTCACAATTTCCTCCTTTTATAAGGTATTAGGAAATTGAACATGGACCTAAAAAATTAAATGTACACATAAAAATTAAATATATTTTTAAGGTTATAGGAATTAAACATGTATTTTAAAAAAATTAAATTAGTTTTTTAAAAATGTTAATATTTTTTTAGAATGTCACATGTTTAATTCTCAAGATCTCTAAGATCATATTATTTTTTAATCAGTAAAATTAACCACATGAACGAAAGGATACAAATAGGATGACATTGTTAATTTTAAGATTAAATAAATTATTTTAAAGTTCAAAAATTAATTTAAAATGAGAATTATAATTTATAGATTAATATATAATATTTTAAAATCTAAAAAACAATATAAAATACAAATCATAATTTAATAATATCATGTGCAATTATCTCATAAACAACTCATATCTGACTTGGAGATGGAATCATTTGTTTCTCCTAATTATTAGGGATTTTCAATCGATCGATTCGGTTAATCGATCGAATTGAACTACCTAAAATTCATTCATTGAAATTTCTTTTCTCTTTAATAGTTACTAAAATAAAAAATAAAAAACTTTTAATCAAACCGAACAAAATTCTATTAATTCGATCGATTTTTGAATTAACAAAATTTATTATAAATTTTATATTTAATATGCAATATATTTAATATTTAACCTACTTAACCAAACCAAACAACTAGACTAAGACTAATAGTATATAAATAATATATAATATATTAAATATTTTTAGTTAATCGGTTAATTAATCAATTTTGAACTGTATTAATCAATAGCCGAAGTTTTAAAAAGTTATTAACAATTAACTGATTAAGCATAAAATTAACAGACAATTAACTAAAAAGACTTTGACTTGATCAATTAAAACCGAATTTTGAACATCCTAATAATTACCATCTTAATGTTACTTTTTCTTTTTATATAGAGATCTTAATGTTACTTTTTCTTTTTATATAGAGATCTTAATGTTACTCTTATATCTTATTACTAGAACTAGGGGTGTAAACGAGCCGAGTCGGGCTCAAGTATTGCTGAACTCGACTCGAACTCGAAAACTCGCGAGCTAAAAATTATCAAGCTCAGCTCGAACTCAAAATATAATATTGAAACTCGACTCGAACAGGCTCGAACTCAAAAAAAAAAATCAGGAGCTCGATTGAAGCTCAAGACTCGAGCTCAATTGAAGCTCGATTTTGAGCTCGATTCAAGCTCGAACTCGATTCAAGCTCGAACTCAAACTCGAATTTGAAACTACAAAAATCTTATATTACATTTAAAATATATAAATAATTTTCCCTTTAATCAACCATCACCAATACATTATAATATGAATGTATGAACTATAAAAAATCTAAAAAATAAAAATACAATTACAAGAAATTTAGGATGATTAATATAAGCTTTGAAGTTTTTAAAACTTCAAATGTATTGAAAGTTTACAAAATATGACAACACATCTAAATTTATAAAAAGATGACAAATATGACAACACATCTAAATTTATAAAAAGATGACAAATATGACAACATATCCAAATTTATACAAGATGACAATATTTTCCTTACAAAAGATAACAATATCATGATAGCTGCATGTTAAGTTTACTTACAAAAAAATAATACAAAAAATGATATCAACCAGTTAAGCTTACTTACAAAAGATGGCAGTAACATGTCAAGTTTACTTACAAAAGATTGCAACATGTCCAAGTTTACAAAAGATGGGAGTTGCATGTCCAAATTCACAACAACAAAAAAAATAACAGTAACATGCCCAAGCTTCCATACATAGCACCTATCAAAAAGAGTAAAAGACAATAAATAATAATAAATTATTCTATAAAAAGCATGAAATCATTACAAATATGGAGTAAAAAAATACAAGATTAACAAATTCAAATATTAAACCTTTTAATTTGTCACATTATCGATTCTTTCAAAGGTACTGATATAATAATTTTTTTGGTTGTTTGTCATCATTCTGCAATAATTTAAAAACTCAAATAAGTCTACATATATTTAAAAAAGTAAACAAACTTTGTTATAAGAAAATACATTTACCTTATTCTTTCTTTTCACTCCATGAAGGGATCTACACCAATCACATGCACACATCAACATTTGAACTGTTTCTGGAGTAAGGGAAGACCTATAAGGATCTATTACACGACTTCCAGCACTAAATGTAGCTTCAGAAGCCACAGTAGTAATAGGAACAACCAATACATTTATTTACATCCTAGATAAAATGCAAAATTTGTTTGGCTTCTCCTTCCACCAAGCAATGACATCAAATTTCGCATCTTGACTAAAGATGCACCCCTCATCCAAATATGAATCAAGTTTAGATTTCACTTGCGGTACATATATTTCTCCACTAAAAACATCTTGCAAAAGCTCATACAAACCATTAGATGTAACATCACCTCCATGAACATCCATAGAAAATGCATGTTCTTCACTTTCTTCCACATTACAAGATGAAGAATACATTGTCAAATATTCATCAAAAAGTTGATACATGATGTCTTTGACCTTACTAATGTTCTCCATAACTAAATGTGATGGAAACATTTTGGGAAATGCAATTTCTACCGCCCTCATTTTCAATCTAGGATCCAATACTAAACCTATTGCCATTAACAAATTACATTCACCCCAATACTTGTCAAACCTTTCTTTAATGTTACCAACCATATTCTTAACAAAATCATCAGCAGACTCAAATTTTGAATACAACAACACTTTAATTCTTTGCACCTCTCCAAGAAACATGGTAGAAGCTGGATATTCAGATTCTGATATAATGTTAGTAGTGGCTTTAAACACTTTCAAAATTTCAAGCTGTTTTTCAATTTTCCCCCACTCATCATCATCAAGACAATGCTTATAAGAATGATCATGCAAAGCATATCTAGGGAATATCTTTCTGAACTTGAGAGCACAATCCAACATGCCATATGTAGAATTCCAACGTGTCTTGCATTCAAGAATCAATTTTCGATCTTGCACGTTGTATTGACTAACAAGTTCACCAAATCTTTTGAGTCGCGAGTCACTTGCATTCAAGAAGTCAACTGTGTCATGAACTTTTTCAATGATGCTTTGCACTTGTTGGAGACTATGTTGTACCATTATGTTAAGAATATGCGCACAACAACGAACATGAAATATTTTTCCACTGCAAAGAAGTCTTCCATTTGTTGTAAAATTGTCATTCAATATCTTGATACAAGAATCATTTGCTGATGCATTATCCACTGAAATTGTGAAAACTTATAAAATAAACAAATAAATTTTTTTTAGTATTATATAATCATAACAAAAAGATAAATTCTACTAATTAATAAGTATATTAAAATAAAAATAATATAAGCACACTTACTTTGTCTTCAATTTCCCACTCCTTTAAACTTGTTAAAATGCAATCAGCAATATTAGCACCTTTTCTTGGAGGCCAAATGAACAAAGTTGAGTACCCGTTTTTGAAGCTTCCAATCAAGATCCACAAAATGAGCCATAAGAACCATGTATTCAATTTTTTGCGGCTTAGATTTCCACAAATCCGTAGTCAAGCTAATTCGATCAACTTTTTTCAACAAAGCTTTTAACTTTTTCTTCTCAAACTCATAAACTTTAAATGAGTCACTTCTTATAGTAACTCGAGAAACACTATTCCATTGTGGCATTCCTCGTTTCATCATCAAATTAAATCCTTCTTTCTCCACAATACTAAAAGGATGCTCATGCATTGTGATCCAATGAGCCATAGTCTCTCTCATATTCAACATGTTAATTTTACCATCATGTAAATCACTAACAAGTCCAGATTGATTTGTATCGATGCTTGAATTAGACGATAATAAATTAATTAACTGTTGTTGCTTAAATAATATTGACTTCTTCATGGAAGTATCCAAATGTCGTTTCAAATGAGAAGTGCTCTCAGATTTCAAGACAGAAAGAGGATGTTTGCAATACTTACACCTTACTTTGCATTGTTCGTTTATGATTTCAGGTTCTAAGAAATTATCCCACACCTTTGATCATCTTGGTCTCTTAAAGGCTTGGAAAGGATTTTCAACCTCAACTTCTTTTGTTGTGGTGTCAACAATAGGTTTAGAAGCTTCTATATTGCACTATTCTTCATTAAGAACATTATCTTTGTTATGTTCATCATCAACATTCACAAAAAACTCTTCAACTCTTGAAACACCAATGGGTGTTGAAGAATTTTGTGGTTCACTAGACATATATGAAAATACAAATGACAATATAAATAAAAAATTAAAGGAATATTTATTTAAAGATAAACAAACTCATAAACAAATAATAAATAATTTTTTAATTGATCCTTATTATACAAACCAACTTGCTGTTGTTTGAAACTTTGAATCATAAAGCTCTAATAACAAGACATACTTGCAAAATCACTCTGATTAGATCCAATTTGATTCAAAATGCATGAAAGAGATATGTCATCATTAATCTATGGTGCACTGGAGATTTAAAATTAAATCTTTGTATAATTGTAAATTAAGCGAGGAATGAGCCGAGGGACAACAACAATTAACCGAGAAAACAGAAGCAGAAAAAATCGTCCCCTATTGATTCTTTTTACCGTGAGCAACGAGAAAACTGTAATGGTCAGTTTTTAAGTGACAATTAACCACTGGGGAAAAGGAGAACACATACAAAAAAAAAAGGGAGGAATGAGTTGAGGGACAATAGCAATTAACTGAGAAAACAGAAGTAGAAAAAATTCATCCCCCATTGATTCTTTTTACAGAGAATAACAAAACATAAGGAAGGAATTTGTAATGTATTTTCCTGCTATTTGAGGATCAAAAGAAACATAGAAGCATTTTTTTTCATCGAACCCAAGCAATACACAAAATCAAAAGGGTATTTTTTTTAGTTTCTATTCTCCATTGTTTTCTTAATTTTCTTGTGTGTGCATATGTTTTGAATCGAAACCAAGTCAAAGGCATAAAGGAGATAGCTTAAACGTTTACCTTAGTTGTAGTTCATCCCGCTTTGCCTCCTAGCCGTTCGAGCCTCACTGTCAAAATAAGGGGTTGTGTTAGTCAAAAATAAGTTCATTATAAAATAAGAAGATGTGGGTCTTGATAGTTTACCGTGCAGTGCGATGGAGTTTAGAGTCGAACTCATCGACCTTAGAAGTTAGGGGTTGTTGCATGTAGTCTTAGTGTTTGGGGTTTTTATAATAATGAAGATATGAGAGTTTAGGGTCAGGTTAGGCTCTTGTTTGGGTTAACCAGTCGTTGCTAATGGTGGTCAGAGTGCTTGGTTCTGAGTTTTACGGTGGCGTTGCTAGTGACGGGGAGAGGGTTTTGTTTTCATGGTAGTTGTGGGTTTTGAGAGGGTCTCGGCTAAGGTTGTTTGAGGGTAAAAGGAGAAAGCCATACCAATTTTAATGTTGAATGTAGTTACCTGGTCATCGGGGTTTGGTGGTCGAAGTGTAGAACTCCGTTGAAGAAAGGCGAGAGGAGCGGCACTGTTTTCTGGTTATGGGTCGTGTGTGAGAATGAGAGGGGGAGAGTTGGAGAAAGGGAGGCTTGAGCGGCTGAATATTTAGTTTAGGTTTAGGTTTGTTTTAATTTAGGTTTTATATATGAACTTTGGGGTTAATTAACGTTTAGCCATCGTAACCTTAGGGGTAAATTAGCTTTAGTCCCTCTAGATTTATGCGTTTTGTACAAAACAGTCTCTCATCTATTTAAATTTTCTTATTTGTTTTAAATGTTCAGGTGTCATTTATGTTATTTTCCATATTATTTTAGCTTAAACCGAATAAGATCAATTGCATATAAGACCCTATAGTTTATGCACATTTTGTATTTAAGTCATTGGTTTATTTCCAATTTTGTAAGTTTAATTTTACATTTACGTGAATTTAATCATCATTCTAAAGTTAGTATATTTAGCTTAAATTAGTCATCACATTTAGGTTTCTCTTAATTTAGTCCCTGTTTAGGATTGTTTTCTTTAATTAGTTGTGTATATTTATTTTGCATGTTGATATATTTATGTATAAGTATGCGAATGATTTATTTAGGAGTCACATAACATCATTTTGCATAATTTGTATGTTACCTTCATGTGCATAACTTAACCCCTATGACATAATCGGATTAAAGGTAATACCCTTTTAATTTAAAATTGTTTAAATGACTTTTCTTAACTCACTAGAGAGTCGTTTTAGACTATTTTAAATTGAAAGTGTATCCCGTCAGTAACACCTAAATAAATTTTAATTAATCACTTTAAAATTTGGGAATGAAAGAAAAATGAATGTTCGACTATTTAAATTTGTTGAGAAAAGGTCGTTAGAACTCACCTAAAGATCTGGTCTCAATATTTTTAAATAATCGAACATTCTTTATCTTTCTAATGGCTTGGTAATTTTAATTTAACCTATTTTGTTGCTTTTGAATATTATAAAATTCACATTTTTGTTGTTTTAAGAGATCAAAAATTAAATTAAAGTCAAACTTGTAAAATTCATTACAAAGACATTAATTAATCGACTTGGTACCGATTTAGGGCGTTGTGGGGTGCTAATCCTTCCCCACACGTAACCGACTCCCGAACTCGTTTTCTGGTAACGTAGACCTCAATTTATGGTTTTAATTAAAATCAATTTTTATTTAAAATGACAAGACGTTTTTGGGTGCCTAATCGCACCTGAATCAAAGATTGGTGACGACTCCTCGAACCGTATGTTTTTTTATCGTAAAGAGAATCCCAAAATTTTCAAAATTATAGGTTTTTTTTTAAATCACATATTTTTTAATTAAAATTAACCAAAAGAGAATGAATTAAAAATACATGGTTTTTAAAATCTCCATTTTTAAAAAAGAAAAAATTGTTTCAACACCATTAAGAAATGAATCAATTTGGAGAAGAAAAAGAGATGGGCTTTTTCATTTGAGATGGGTCATGAAATTTCAAGAGTGAAAGAATCAAGCTTTGATTCTCTTTTAATCTGTAAATTAGAAGGAATGAAATGACTTAGTGAAAGGAGAGAGAGTAGATTTGTTTTTCTTTTGCTTTCTGAAGAACATAAATCTAATCAGAAGCTTCGGTCTTTTTTATTTTTGTTCCTCTTCTCTTCTCAATCTTCTTTTTATTTACTGCTTTGATTTTTCAACTATGCAATTATTACTTTCTTTCTTTTCATAGTAGAATCTAGTAATGCATATATATTTGTCTTGTTTTACTTTATATGGTATAGGTTAGTAGAAGAGATGCTCATTTTCTCTCAAATATGATTTGATGTCATTAATTTGGTTAATTAAGATATTGATGTAAGTCTAAATGAGTTTTTCTTTTTCAATTCTTTATAAAATCGGTTACACTCTATTTTGATATATATTTTTAAATTATTAATATTTAAATTGAATCATATTTTTATTTTATTTTATTATATTTATTGTCAAATAAAAAATTAGTTATGAGGTAAGTACAATATAGTATCTTGATATTAAATATTCAAACCCTTGATATTTATGATATTTGAACTCGAAATCTCAAAATATAACAACAATTTTAAAAATTAGTTATTAAAAATATTATCATTAGAAATATATTAAATATTTGTCATTAGATAAATAATTTTTTATTAATTTAAATAAATATAAGAATATTTATTCAAAAAATAATTTTTAACCATTTTCAATTTTTCTACTGTTTGACTATTTTTAATTATTTTTTATTTTATTTTTCTACGTTGTCAAGTACTTGTGGAGTAAAAAATTAAAATAAAAAGAAAAAAAAATCAACCAAACACGTGTAATCTAACATGTGCTTAATTAAATGGGTTTTTATTTTTCTTTTAGTAATATACAATGTAACAATTAGACTTGGACTGATTAATTAAAAAAATTAAAATTTGAGGGTAGTTGTATTATAAAAATTTTAATATATTTCTAAATTTTTATAATTATCAATAATGTATTTTTAATATATTTTTAATAATGCAATTTTAAAAAATCTAAAATTATAATATAACATTTTTTCGAGCTGCTCACGAGCTTTTCGAGTCGAATATCGAGTAACTTGTTTCGGCTCGTTAAGAGCTCGAGCTCGAGTCAATTCGATCCGAATATTTA